CTATCTATCTATCTATCTATCTATCTATCTATCTATCTATCTATCTAATCAATCCATCCATCCATAGCATCAGGAAGAGTATTCACAGCATTTAAGTGATGATGTTTGCATTTGAGAATAGTTCAGATTGTTCTGTATTTAACACCTTTCCAAAGCTTTTGGTGTTATTTGCTCCACTGTGTGATCAACGATCCCATTTTGACCAGAAAAGTGGGCGTGATGTGCCACTAGGGGCCGTTTGGCTTCATGCTCTTATTGCACTCCTCACTTCCGGCCCGGTTCCGGCTCTTTCTGCCTCACTTGTCACATTTTCCAGGTCTCTCTCTCTCGCTCCAGGGAGCCGCAGGAGGAGGAGTGGCCCCGGGCCCACACCCACTTTTTAGTGGAATTCTGCAAACGTGTAAAGCTCAGAAACTCGCCCCCTACGTTCTCTGTCACAACCCCAATAAAAGCAGAGTCATCCTCTGGGATGCATGTTTTATACTTTGGCCTAATCTTTTTTTCTTCTTTTCAAATCCCTTTCTAAATCTGCCCGGTAGGAAATCGCTTCCATTTACATCTGTCACCCTCAATTCGGGTTTTTAGTCCTCTGGGTCCTAATAACCATCAGGGAACTGGCCTGCAGGCCTCTATAATGACAAGTGTCAACCTTCATTAGACACTTTGTTAAACACCCTTTAGTGTGTCGGCCAATAAAGTGGAATTCTAAGCTCAGTCCATGTCTCAGCTTGTCAGTTCTTTTAAAATATGACCAGAAACTATGCTTCAAAAAGAAGGGGAAAAAAGCCTGAGGGAATTGTTAAAATTTTAGAAGTTCCACAAGTATGTTGACCCCCAGCACGTTGATGTCCAACTGATATTGACCACGTTGCTTAAAGGCACAATGCCGTTTTCTGTGTTGATAAATATGCGTTTATTTCGAGGTGGTTCTGCACACAGCTTTAGGAAACCTGCAAACTGGACCCTCTCCTCCTTAAGGTCCAAATTGTGACGTCTGGGTCCAGTCAGACAGAATGATCCCAGTTTGCACCGGAAGCAGAGAGTCATGCTTTCACAATAATGCGTAAAAGAGCCAATCTCTAGCACCTGGCCTAGAATAATAGGTCCCTTCCGGGAGAAAACGGTCACTTTGCGTTCTATTTTTTGAAAATGCTACTATGCAGAAACGCAAACATCAAGAAGTAGCAAGGAAATTTCAGGATTATTTACAGTTTATCTCCAAAGGTACAATGAAGCTTGTATTTTGAAATTCCGAAGCAGCTGTTCTCTCTTTCAGCATCTGCTTCGACAGGGATTTCAGAGCCTACGTGCAGGCAGACATGAGCAATTACTGCTAAAAGTTTGGCAACGAGTCCCGATCCATTCAAATCTGAGCAGACTCCGGTCTGAGCCGGGCGGAGGGGAAAACGATGCTCCCGAGAGGCTTGTGCCTGGCCTTTGTCACCCTGGCGCTGGTGGAGGCTCAGTACGAGAAGTACAGCTTCAGAAGTTTCCCCCAGAAGGACGTCATGCCTCTGGAGTCGGCGTACAACTACGCGCTGGAGCAGTACTCCGCGCAGAACTGGGCCGAGAGCGTCAAGTACCTGGAGCTGAGCCTGCGGCTCCACCGGCTGCTGCGGGACAGCGAGTCCTTCTGCGGCCGCAACTGCAGCTCCGTGAGCCGGGAAGACGGGGCTCCGCTCCCGGACGGCAGCCTCCGCGTCGTGCGCCACATCCTGCTGAGGGCTGCGTGCCTCAAGCGGTGCAAGGCAGACTTCCCCGTCTTCAACATCTCCTATCCGCAGCGGGACATGCTGGACACCTTTGAGAGGAGGATACCGTATCGGTACATACAGTACGCCTACTACCAGGTGAGGGCTTTTTCTTTTTGGAAGGGGAATGTCGTTCCCACTGGCACCAAACAGCCAGCTCTAGGAGCTCAGAGTAAGCGGTTTGTTTTTACAGAAAACTGTGCGTAAAAGGCGCAAACACCCAGCTTTCTGCGGGTTCCTAAAGGCAGGTAGACGTGGTTTGACTCACCATGGAAAAAAAGAAGATAAAAGTCTAGTCAGAGAGGCCATTAGTGTAGTTTCCCTGCTGTTTTGTTGCGCCCTCCTGCATGCAGACCAAGTTGAGCATGTGCCACGTCTCTTTCAGCGTCCCCCCTGAAAACAATTCACCTATTCTTCTGGGCCTCACAGGTCACTGGGCCGCAGGTTTGGCTTTAGGAACAGAAAGGGCCGACTTTTCAGGCTGTTCATGAGTGGGAACTCGGTTCAAGTTAAGGTGATGTCCACCGCTGATCCCTCAGAAGCTGGATGTGTTGTTTATTGACCACTAAAAGAAACCCAGGCATCAGTTAATAGCATCTCTCGCTTAGGAAGAGATATTCAGCTGTTTCGGAGTGTTTATTTTGGAAAATCTTAAACCTTCCGGTCCACGCTGATCGCCGTCCTGCTCTGATTCCTCTCCAGCTCAACAACTTGGAGAAGGCTGTGGCCGCAGCTCACACCTTCCTGAAGAAGAACCCCAAGGATCCGTCTCTGTCCAAAAACATGGACTACTACAGGACGCTGTTCGAGGTGGACGAGTATCTCATCGACCACGAGGAGCAGCCCTACGAAGTGGGTAGCCCGGCGTGAGCGCCGCGCCGCTGGGGACCCCACCTCCTTTAAAAAACCTCCATGCCTTTGCCTCGCAGAGTGTTTTCCTCAAGAGCGTGACGCTCTACAACAACGGGGACTTCAGCAGCAGCGCCAGAAACATGGAGCAGGCCATCACGCAGTACTTTGAGATCTACAACCTCTGCTTGGCCGGGTGCGAGGGCTCCTACGAGATCTTGGAGTTCAAGGATTTCTACCCGACTCTGGCAGGTGAGAGGACGGCAGTGAAGGGGCTTTGCTAGATTTTAGAAAGAAAATTAAACCTCTTTCTCCCCATCTCCCTCAGATCTCTTCATCGACGTGCTGAAATGCAAAGTGAAATGCGAGGACCACCTGATGCCCAACGTGGGAGGCTTCTTTGTGGAGAAGTTTGTGGCCACCATGTATCACTACCTGCAGTTTTCCTACTACAAACGTGAGATCTGCCCGCCCCCTTCGCACCTCCGTCCGAGGCCCCGCCGCACCGCCTAAATGTGCGTTTTGGGTGTGTTTTCCCAGTGAACGACGTGAAGAACGCGGCCCCCTGCGCCGCCAGCTACATGCTGTTCGACCCCGGGGACCAGGTCATGCAGCGGAACGTGGCCTACTACCGCTTCTACCGGGAGCAGTGGGGCCTCAAGGAGGAGGATTTCCAGCCTCGGCCCGTGAGTCTCCCGGCCCCTCGAGTGTGAACCACACAAAAAAAAAGAGCAGAGAAATGGTTCCACAGACCAGCGCTGGCGCGAACATTTAACACACAACGCAGGGTTGTAATTAGGAGTCGCAGTCGTGTTAAGGCAGACTTGTTTTCCCCTTTTTGCTACATGGTGTGGATTTAACGGCCGCCTCTGTAAAGCAGTTGTGTGCACAGCTGAGGTCGCACATAAACTTTTTTTCAATTTCTAAATTAGATTTGGCACTGCGGTTCATGCTTTAAGGCTTGGGGGGGGAAAACAACAAAAAAAAACAGTGAAGGAAAAAGCCAGCAGCCTGAATTTGTAGCTAAGCCGCTCACAGCTTGGTGTCGTAGAACTCCCTCACCTGCTGACTAAGTGTTGCTGCCTTTGATTTGACAGGAATCCCTGCGGTACTTCAACCAGACAACCAAGCAGAAAGAGATGCTGAAGTTTGCACTGAACTACCTACAGACAGATGACGAGGTTCGTTTCGAGTTTTTCACAAATGCAGCCTCATCCTTTAGGGAATCTGTTACTAATGTATCACACATGAATTTGAATGAAAAATTTTCGCTTATGTTTTTGACTCCTCTGTTTTGTCACTCTCAACTCTGATAAAGATTAAGCTTTGGGATCTGAAGCAATGTCAAAGACTTGGGTTTTATTAGAGGTATTCTATTACATGTAAATTCAGTTTTTCCTATATAAAAAAACTCAAAACTCAGGAAAGGTGGCCAGGTTTTAAACTCATGTAAATTTTACTTGCATTGGCTTGTCAGGGGGAAGCGTCTAGCTTCATTATGTGCTGATCACCTGGAATTTGCTTAGTTCTGTTGTAGGTAGAGGCATTATGACGGGAACCTTCTTTTCCTCATCCGATCGGTTGAAATTTGCCAACAATCGATTGCGATCAACAGGAGTTACTCCTCTTTATGACTCTCCAGATGGTTCCCATGTAAAAAGAGTTATTCTGTGGGATTACTGTAAAGGACAGGGATACCATGTAATGTAAAATCTTGATCTTTTTACAGCAGTGTCATTCCAGAGATTTTTTTTTCGGAATAATCAAACTTCCATCAATCTCTGGAGTGCTGGAGCGAAAAGTTTGAAGTGTTACAGCTAGTCGTCTGAGTGCCTCAGCAGATAAAAACTAAAAACCCTGCAGGACCAGACAAGATGAAACGACAAAACGGCACACAAAGCACAAAAGAGGTGGACCTGCAGACCCGATGCAGGCTGCTGTGAAAGATGCAGACAGAAAGATGTGAGGATGGAAGGAGTAAAGGCCCCAGAGGAAGTGGGGGTGGGTTGTGTTTTCTGCCAGCAGAGTGTGGTATGTGGCTGGGAGGTGTCGGCCTCTGGGACTGCTCCACATCCATTTAAGTCGGGTCAGCCCCTCCCAGCTACCGACACACTGCCTGGACCTGAAGGGGGAGGAGGCCTGAGAGAGTTCAGGCTGAATTACAGGGTGCACAAGCAGCAGATTTATTGGAATAAGAAAAGAGGACATCATTGTTTTCCAGACAGAAAAGCAGTTAGCGGCTTGCTTCAGGTTGACGGTGTGTGTTTTCTTTTTCAAATTCAGGATGTGGTCAGTCCAGAAGAAGCGGCAACCTCCCGCTCAGAAAATCCCGACTCTGAATTCGAGGGGATGGGGGACTACGAGGAGTCCTTCCTGGCTGATTGGTGGCAGGAACCCAAAACTAAGTGGGACACTGGAGAGATTGCAGACTGACATTTCTCTCAAACCTTAACTGACCTCTTGTGACAACACACCAGAGACCTTTCCACAAGCAGACCGCCTCATTCCAACTCAGTGAAGCAGATCAAATGGACTAAACCATTCTCTTTTTCACTCTTTTGCAGCATCCATTATGTTGATCAAGTTCAGAGATTGACATATTCAGTCTTGGGCTGCCATCAGCCTCTTTTTATATCTATGCAGTTTGTCATTTGCTTGTATCCTGATACATGCTGATGACTTTTCTAACGTTTTATCTAACTTTATTTAATGAAAGTTGAATTCCTTTGTGCTGCGATTTAAGGAGGGTGACGTGTAGCTTTTCTTGAGCAGTTAATAAAATATTGTTTTGATATAATTTTTCTTATTTAATCTCAGAGTAATCCTCTGTACTACACACTCTTTTTTTTATTGAGAAATGCTTTGAAAAAATTAGCACATTTAGGAAATGTCCATTAGAGTCAAACAAATCAGACACTTTAAAACAAGAAAATAAATTATTTACAAGATAAAGGGTAAAGTTTTGGATATCATGAGACAATTAGGAAACTGCTAAATTTCCCAGTTTGTTTGCATTTGGCCTGAAGAACACAACCATTTGGGTATTCCTTCCACACAGAGATCTCTGTGGATTCTGTAAATCTTTCAAGACGATTGAATGCTATTGAATTCTAAGAAAGACAGGAAGTGAGATTTGAGAGACGGGGTGGTGGTTTCATCTTTTGTTTTATTTTTTCACCTAAATCCATCAACAGGAATCACTCTTCCACTGTTCCAGTTCAAAAAGACAGATCCATAAAAATATGGAGCAAGATGCACTACACTTTGCCTTGATTTTTTTTTTCCTTCTCTTTCCGATTGTATTTGATACCTGCGCTGTACAAATCAAAACAACAGCAGTGCATCATCCATAGTGCAAAGCTCAAACAAACCAAACTGACCTCATACACGCGTACAGTGGCACACAAGCTTCCTTTTGGCCCCCCAAACCACATCTTTTTAATCTCATTTACAGAGAGGATCAATATAAAGTTTCTGTGCCGAGGCGGTCACCGAGGGCTATCAACAAATGTACAAAAGATTTCACTTGAGTGAAAGACGATGGCTAGTTCAGCTGTTCTGCCACATTAAAAGATGCATGGGGAGGGGGGGGGGGGTTCCATTTGGAGATGCAGGCTATGCCACGCTACTGAGAGCTAAATGTTTGCAGAAACAGATAAAACTAATCATTTCAACATAGTTTTAAATAAATCTTCATACATTGCATTTAACATTCAGGATATTCTGCACATATTTACAAATGGGTGTGCATACAGTGGGCAAGTGCTCGCTTCCTGTAGATGGACGACATAAAAACTGGTTTGGAGGTGCTGCCTTTATGGAACCATGGCTGCAGCAAACACGTTGTAGAAAGAGATGGTCCTCTAGACTAGAGGTAAAAACCTGCCTATCTACCTGTGATAGGAGTGTAACGTTTTGGTGGACACGACTGCCCCTAACATTAAGGAAAGCGCACATACATTCTTTTCTTTAAAAATCTCTCACATCCATACATTCACCCCTGAACAGACATACAGAGTAAACCTCTGACAAACTTTGGAAGTGGTGTAAAGACACGGATAAAGTGGAATGTATGTTGGTCAATCCGATGTTGAAAACACTAAGTTACGGTCTCTGTTGTTCGATAGTTCAGTGTTATTTAAAATGATCCCAAAACCATAACACCTAGCTTCCCTTTTTTATACCTGATATCGTGTTGGGAGGTGGGGGAGTTGGGACACCTCAAATTCAAAACAGATGGCATCTCTGTTCATCAGTACCTCCTCAGTCTTTTTTTGGAAAATACACTAACATCTCTGTCTCTCCTTCATATTTCCTCTGTAGCTAAAGTTAGTTTCAAATGTGTCACTGTCTATTTCAAGATGCACCTACTCAAGGTCCGGCTTGAAGGAACTGAGCCCCACGTCCTTTTTAGTTTAAGAAGAAAAGGTAAAGACTCAGTCTGTGTGTTGATCCAGCATTTTTCTGTGGGCTCATTTAGTGGCAGGTCGAGTTTGTGAGCAGGCAGGTAGGTTTTGGGAAGACAAGTCTCTTAGCAAATTGGTCCACTGTTGACATGTTCTTCACCCGAGTGTGAGGAGGAGACGCCAAAGCGCGTTCGCAGAGCCCCAGAGCTGGGGGAGGAATCTGATTCCTCCCCTCAGACAGCCACCGTCTCACTCTTGGCAAACCTGGACGTGGTCCTCAGCGGACATGAGAAGGACTTCTCTGGCAGGGTGAGAGGAGCTCCTCAGGCCCCATGGCGGGAGGGGCCATGAGGGCGATCAGATGGAAGGAGCAGACGGGAGCGTGGAGGATATGAGAGTCTGAAGAGGTTTGGAGAGGTTTGGGGATTGAGATGGAAGACTTTTTGTATTTTTTATTCCCCTCTTCTTCAATGTGGAAACGACACAGTGCGAGGAGGAAGACAAAGGTGGACAGGACACAGACAGTGACACAGACAAAGACATTATCCTCCTCCAGATCTGAAACAGAAGTCAGAGCAGAGCGTTCATCAGTGTGAGATAAAAAAAAATGCAAAGGCAATAAAAGGACAGGCATGAAAAAAAAAAAACCCAAACACTCCTTTTCACAGAAATGAATCCTGATACTAAACCATTAAAGTCCAAAGAAAAGATGGATCAAAATAAACAACAGTAGAAGTTTTTGGAGAAGACATTTGTTGCTTTGATACTTGGCTCAATAGACAGTGTCATGTGGTTTGGGTCTATTACGGTTTTACCTTCCTCTTCGAATGTTCCTGTGTTCCAGTCGGACAGCAAGAGAGGAGACAAAATGTCAGAACACATGGTCAAAAGGAAGAAAATCACTCCATGACTACATGGTGGTCATTTCAAAGCTGATAAGATCATTACAACTTGGATAAAATGCAATTTAAAAACATGAATTCACTATATTGCCGGGCAATTCAAAGAACATTTTCCGGTCATAATTATAGAAGTCACTGAAAAATTGCTTTGAGAAGAAATTAAACTATTTCATGTGGACTACAGATTTGGGGGCAAAGCATGAATGAGAAATGACTCATGGCAATTACTGATTGAATCCATTATTCATCCGAGTGTAAATTTGAGATTTCCGTGATGACCTCGCATGCAGCAGGAATACAGAAGCTCTGACCGAGACCCTCTCAGCCCCTGCAGAGGCTGCTGGGCCTCCACAATTGAAACAGTCACCAAATCTGACTACTATTGAAAACAACCTCTGCACACAGCTCATGCACACATGCAGACACTTGTCTCTGGCCCTAAAAGGACTGTCTGCACGCATTGGGTTGTCAAGTGTATCTTCATAGATACGAGGGCATTTGATAACTATTTAAAACAGTCCTTTGAAGGCAGACTTTAAGGAGTGAACAATAGCAAACATGCAAAGGTGGAACGGCACAGATGTTGCATTTCAGCAAAGGTGTGTGGAGTCAGGATCATGCCAAAAAAAGGGTAACGATGGCATAAAGAGCAGTAAAGGTGAAAGGAAAATATGCAAAGAGAGCTTAAGTTAACACAAAAATATGTTTTTTTTTCCTGAACTTATAGATCAGGAACAAAAAAACAAACAAAAAAAAGATGTGGCACCAGTAGAGTTAGTCAGCTCAGTTCTATTAGACCCAGGAGAGGTGCTGCAGTGCAGTAGATCCTGGCAGAAAAATCTCTCGCTCCTGCCCTGTCATCACTACATAAGCCGGGGCTGGAAAGGGGAAGGGGGGGGCAGAACGGTGCAGGATGAAGCTTGGATTAAAATTTTAAAACGTGAAAACCAACCGCTGGGATGTTTAATTTTAAAGCCAAAAGCACTCAAGCACTAGCCCGTCTCGGACTCGTCTCCCACTTTCCCCTCCCAGGGTCGAGCAATGAGTTGCATCTATTTCAGAGGGGGTGACAGTGGGGTGGGGGGGGTGGACAGGGGTTCCCTTTTGGTAGAAGCAGAAAGGTACATAAAGGCATGCCAGAACTCTTACTTAAATCCCCATCCTGTGCCCCCTAGGACTATAGCTGCCAGGAGAATAGCACCTGCGATGGACCCTATTATGATATTGGTGCCACTGGGACCTGCGCAGAGGAGGGAGGGGGGGGAGGAAGGGTGTGGAGGAGGAGGAGTAGAAACAAAACAACACCACTAAAAAACACACGTCAGAAGACGGCATCGACACTGTACATCAACAACATCAACTAGAGAAAGAGAAGAGGCAGATGGCGAAGTACCTGCGGACAGACAGAGATGAAGGGGGGAGGAGGAAGAGGAGGAGGGAACCAGCACGTGGGGTGGAGATGGGAAAACAGGCGGGTGAGCAAAGGGAGGTCAGGGAGACAACAGTTACAAAAAAAAAGAAACAAAGGAGAGAGTGTTGTATTACTTTGTGCTCATTCCCCCCTCTCCTGCTCTTTCAGCGGGACACCCTCCTGCTCAGGGTGGCTTTTTTGCCCCTATAAGAGCAGCTGCTCAATTGCTCTGTGTCAATGGCAGACTGCAAGAAAGTAAGGGAGACACTTGAAAAACGGTAGTACCACCACACGTGCATTCACCAACATCCACCGTAGACACACATGACATCTGGACGCACGCCATCCCAACAGCAGAAACCAAGACTCGGCAGGAGGGGAGAAACACTGCGAGGTCTGACGTTCTCACAACACTCAGGTGAACTATCCTACCTGGAACCACTGTCGGTTCCACCACATAGAGAGGCTACGGTGCGGTGAAGATGAGTTGAGACTATGGGGGGGGTTATGAGAGGCAGACAGAGAGAGAGACGAGGACAGGTCGACAGCAGCTATGGACCTTTCTTCTCGGGGCCCGTCGGAACTGTAGGCTCAGGGATGGGATCAAAAACACTGCAGTCCTTCCCTGTGTAGTCCCTGTCACAGATACACTTGACCTCATTACTGCACGTCTGCAAGAGAGACACGGAGGGGCTAAAGTCTTCATGCATATGGTAAAGACTGGAAAAATGCAGACCATTCTTGTATTAAGACTGATTAGCTTTAACTTTTAATAGACTGAGGATATTGAAACTTATCCTGATATGATGCAATGTTCTGCTGGGAAAACCTACATTCAGAATTTTATGCTACATTTTGGATTTCACTGACATGTAGGTTTAAAGAGTAGAATATACTGATTTGCAAGTGAATTTTCATGATAAAAGTCCAAAATTATTCAAATAAAATGTTACAAAACTATGTGAGTACCTATCTAAACAGATGGTTTAAACAAATAATCTGACCAAAATATATATGTATATATAAAAAGTGATCAAGTATACAACATGAATAAAACTTTTCAGAATGATTTGACTTGATTAACAACTTTCCCATTAATCTGATATTAAGGAGTGTTTTTAGAAATAATCAGCTGAAATTTTCTTTTTTTACTTCTAAAAATTGGAAAAGCATTAGTTTTTACCCCATGGTCTGAGCAAATGCGTCCAAAGTTGGATCCTGAACATGTGCTAAGGTTGAACGCTGCCACAGGGAGGCAGCGTCTCTCCAAACACATCATGTTGGGACCACAGGGAGTGCCATCCTCCACATAGCCCATGTCTGAGCCATCCTCCAGCAAAGCATGGCCCCCTCTGAGCGGGAGGAAATGCGTAGAATCAAACCACTGAACGACTGTCCTACTGCACTGTTACATGCAGCGGATCAGCTGAACGGTACCAGGTTACCTGCAGTCCAGGTATTTGTTCTGATGGTAGAGGGTGAAGCTGGTCACCTCACCTTGGAGATCACCAAACTTAGGCTTCGTTGTGATGTTTGCACAAAACAGGAAGCCACATAAAACATCCCTGAAAAAAGAAGAAAACATTTTATATCAGCCTTAGGTTGTGCTCAAACATTTTTTTTTTTAATTATTGGGATTGGGTTTATACAAAGTAGTTCAACTCAGATTACTGATGTCACTCACGGCTTGTTGCACTGCAGCCAGCCTTGCCCTTCTGGACGCCGGCCACAGTTTCCCTTCTCTGTGCCCTCCGCATTCAGTTTCTCATAACAAAACCTGTCTGCCGAGCCTAGGTGTACAAGAAACATTACAAAAACGGAGAAGACGTGTCTCTTGTTGGCAGTGATAGTGGTACTTTATGGACACTTACTATAGCCCCAGAGTCCCTTGCACTGTCCATCCCGAGTCCTGCATCGTCCACCATAACATCGACCCTGAGGAGGTGAGACAGCTCTGCTGAACCTCGCCACAGTGTTAACCAAAGGCTAAAACCCCCCCAGCTCAAATCAGGCCTTACCTGGCTGCTATCACACATGTAGCCGTCCAGCTTGTGGACATTGTGAGGACACTGTGAAAGAGGAGAGTCAACAAGATGGTCAAAATCATGACATAACACTGACTTACTGGTTTGTCCAGAGTTTTACACAGAAAGTTTTACCTGGCTGGAGTCTCCAGTGCAGGTTTCTGGAATATCACAGTCGTTCACGGCCTCCCGACACACAACACCCCTCTGCTCGTACTGGGGCACAGAAAGAAAAGGTGTCAGACAGATGTCTGCATTTCCTTGCTGAGGTTTAATCTCCTTACACTTCTGGCTCATAACAGATCAAATGAATGCAGCATTTTTGGTAGAAACTGGGCCTTTTGGGTTTCCAACAATTTATTGTATCAAAGTAGAGGAGATTTTTTTCCTCTGATTAATTATAGAACTTAAGATGTACATGACTATTTTAACAAAGGTAATGGATCGAAGTGTTTCTGCTGCAGCCAGTCACAAAAAAACAAAACAACAGAAGCATCACAGACAAGAAAGAGCAGACGGCTGACTGAAGTGAGCATAGGCTACATGTGCACACTCTTTAAAATCCAATGTCTGTAATGTCCAACACTTTTAGGTGCAAAGATCTCTTTGATTTAATTTATCAGCAGGATCATCTGTTTGCGTGTGCCTTATCCATCTATTTCGAGCCACTTACTCCACTTGTCTTTGGAGAAACAGAGCCATCCCCAAGCTATCTGAGAGAAATGATCTCTCCCGAGACTGAACCAAGGTCTCACACTACTCCCCTGGGAGGCATACATCGGCGTATTTCCAAGCCACGCGCTCAGCATAGCTACAGACACACGCTACTAGCACCCAAAAATACCTGAACGCCACTTAAGACCATAACTTACTCCCAACCCAGAGAGGGTAACGCGCCCATTTCCAGCTGACTGCCAGTGAAACTTAGCTCCCGAACCAAACTGAAGTAATTTCGCTCACTTGTCCAACCGTCTGGACAATTGACCAGCTCACCTTGCAGCCGCTGCAGCAGAGGCCATTGCTGCACATGGCATCATGGGTAAGGGTGCACTTCTTACAGCAGGCTCCTCCGCTGCGGGCACACTCCTGCAGCCACAGGCACAACGTTAAATAACCGTCTCTGTTTCACGAAAAGCATCCCTGTGTCAGACAGGAACGCAGACCAGAGGTGGAAGTGTTGCTCGTTTCTGTGTGTGGTTCTGCTGGCTGCTTACCACCTGGGATCCGCAGTCACACTCCTCCCCTGGCTCTACAAAGCCATTTCCACACTCTGGAGGGTCCAACAACTAGCAAAACGAAGCGAAATGTGAATAATTAGAACGATGACATATACAGAGAGGTTATAAAAAAAAAAGAAAGGGTGTTAAAAGGAGAAGTCCTTATCTGAAAATGAGGGAATCAGATCCTCACATTACCCTCACCTTGCTTGGCTTATTGAAGAGACAGCTCCCACCCCCTTGGAGCAAGAACTGGATGTACTCGTCGATACTGCAGCGAGAAAACTTTCTGGGCAGATAGAATCTGTGATCGCAAACACACAGACAGACACGCATAAAGATCAAGACATTAAATAAAGCACAAACAGTAGAATGCTTTTCTGTCAGAGAGGAACGCCAGATCCACTGTGGGTGTCCGTGCAATCTGACAGAAATGTTACCATCTGGAGTCATATATCACTTAAATAAATAATTCAAATCTGTTTTGTCCTATCTGCCAAGGGGAGCTTAATCCAAGTCACAAATGTAGTAAATGCTTTCAGCAGATTTGTCATTCCATCTCAAAACACTGGTGGCTATTGTTTCAGGTTTTCACAACTAGGCAGTCACATGAGCACTGAGTGAAAGTCTGAGCAACCATCTGATGGAGGCATTGAATTGTTTAGCTGAGGGAAAGGAGGTGAGGATAATCGGGGTTTAGAGGGTTTTACCCGGTGTCCTCCATGATGCAGCCAACCCAGGCATCTGGGCACCGGCAGTCACCTGCAAAGAGAATCAGACAGAGAAAAATCCCATGATGAGATGGGCTAAATTTACACAGATGCGGGCGATAAAATAGGTTAGCGATCATCGCGTACGATGCAAGCTGCGACAGTCGGCATGCTGCAGCGAAACGCAGGAAGACATCTAAAGCCGTTCTATAAAACCAGCCCTGAATGAGCACTGATCCTGAGTGCTGGCACTGAATAATGGACCCGATGGCTTGTCAGCATTAATCATGGGCCCCATTGTTCAGAGGCAGCAATGCCTTACCTGTTAACTCTTCCCTCTTCGATGCAGGTGACTGATCATGAAATTTCGACGTCTGAGAAGGAGATACTAAATCTGTCTTTATCCACTGAACTTAAATCATCCCGTTCAGGTCTGGCAGCAGAGTCCTGCACATCAAAGCCTTTCCGGCCGTCTCACCTGCAGAGGTCCGTGCGTTGTTCCACCTCATCCCGATGTTCTGGCCAAGACTCTGACACAATGTGATGGCCATGGCACCTACACTCCCATACTAGCACAAAGTCACACAGGCCAACGCGTTAGCTCCGCTTTACAAGGGAAGGCTGGTTTTGTGTGATTTTAATAAAGACAGTACATGCTTCATAGGATGGATGAGGAGTTTGAGGCATGGCATTGTCCCCTGAGGCATAATGCCGACACGCCACAGACAAATCACTTCATAACACGACAAAGTAATCTATGGCAGCACTTCAAATACTGCATCACTGATGCGACAGTGAATGTGGTGCCATCAGGCCTGCCCATAACACTAAACCAAGAGGCAGTATCTTGGAGATGTATATACACTCCATCAGTTCACTGGCTGTAAAAGTCACCTCCTTTGAAGTGTTGCATTCATTTCAGTAAAAGGTGAAAGAAAGAAAAACAATAGACGGATTACTGTTCTGTTCAGAGGTAGACGCATCCAGACAGAATTTATAGCCACAGGGCAAATTCAGAATACATATTAGCCTGTTGTCAGTTGTTCTCTTAATGTCACAAAATGATGTAAAAACAGATGGACGAGTGACTAATCACTTCAGACGGGAAGACAGAATGCAAATTAATTTCTTTAATAATGTCACCAGAAGGGCTAAAATGCTTAAAAAGATAACATCAAATGAGACATTATGATATTTCCTGAAATAAAGGCCAGAAAGCCTAGTTTTTTTTCCATTGAAATATAATTTTATATTAGTAGAAATGCAGTTGGATTTGGGGATTTTCTTTTTAGTTTTATATGTCATCATTATGAATCTCCAAATCCACACCAAATAAAGTTATTCTTGATTCCATAAAGGACACTTGTCCTATGCTGTCTGATTTCTGTTTAAACTTTTCTGTTTTTCCTCTCTGACGACCATATATCCATGTGCCACAAAATGAGCAGCGACACAGCTCTATTTTGGACTCATCAGATTAAAAAAGGGCGAGCTGAGACAGAGTGTGATACAGAAGGTGGTGAGAGATGCTGCAGAAAGGGAATGAAAAATAATGGTGACAGTTTTTCTACGTTTGGTAATAATCGATTTGGTTATCCTGCACGATGAAATTACAAACCAGAAAATGAGAAAAATATGGGTTCTTCATTGTATACATGAATTTTCACATCTCAATTAAAAAATGTAGAATGTGGATTTTGCCTCTGATCTCATGCCTGCACTATTTCTAATCGCTATCAACGATTAACTGTTAACCCATTTGCTTTTAGCTCTAATGGCTCCTTTCCGGTACAATAGCAATTTTTTTTTACATTATCCTCACCTCATTAATTCCTCCTCCTCTGGTTGAAGAGCACACCCCTCCAGTAAAGGCTGTCCCACTGCGGCTGCTGTGGAATGTACGCCCTCTGGGGAGTGTGGGAAACCGTTTTCAAACGTCAGATAAGGTCTCACGATATAAGACAGACATACTGTACATATATCGCTCTTACGAGAAAAGATGAACAACATCGCTCTGCTCCTTGACGTTGTCCCTCCTGTACTTCATAAAGTTCTGCAGTGTTATCAATGGGTCCTCCACGACAGGCATCATATTTTTAGAGGTCCAGGTCTCCATGGCGACAAGCACGATCCTCGTGTTCAGCTGTTCCTGAAAGATCTGGGAAACACAAAGTAACCGTCATCTTTGCTGTTGTGACTGGGAGAGATCTGTGGGATAGCCGTTTTTTGGACGTGGACATGAGCACACATCGGGGGGGCAGGTGGTGGTGTGTATGTAGAGTTTAGCACCGCGGCGCTTACCGTATCCGCCGTGTTGACCACAGCTTTGGCAAAGTTCTTGGTTTGGCTGCTGGAGCGACGCAGCTGTACAAACTGTGGAGAGACAAAGATGCACAGATGGCTTGCGAGATGGATTTCTAACACTCAAAAGATCTGTTGTACAGAACACAAGTAACATAAGGCACTATTCCAAAGTTATGTTTGATGTATTTCAGCATCATATTTTGGATTGCCCTCATTCCATTATATTGCAAAATGGGTGAAAATATAAAACTCAGATAGATGAGTGCATAAAAACAACATGTTTTTCCACCCCTATTTAAATGTACATATTTCTTTCATATGAAATGAATCACAAAAAGTCATCTTACATACAGAAATATTTATCTCTGACCAAGTCACCAAAAAAGTAAAAAATAATATCCATACACCTACAAATTGCGTTTTGAATTAACTTTAAGGGATGCGCCTTTTATAGCCAATTCTGACACCCTCATTAGTCACTAATTAAGATATATTTAAACGTTCTAAAAACCCTTTTGAATTTGTTCCCATTTTATCAAAGAGAGAGCCTGGTGAAGCTGGTCAAACTCCTGTCCATGCTCATAGTTTGCCTTGTACTTGTGTGCACATTTTTACAGACTGGGTAGCTTCTGCCATACAGTACCACAATTTAAAAATCATATTTTTCTGTATGTAGCAGTGTGAAAAAATCTTAATGACGAAGGCAAACGTATTGGGCCTTTCCAGCTGTGGCACATGCAGCAGCGGACGAGCTGCAAGGCCCTGCTTTAACTCACCATGTCATTATCGTTGACGACCATCAGCTCGATATATTTGGTTTCAGTCTGGACAGAGGGCTTCCGAACAAATCTCTTGGATCTTCTCAGCCCCCCAGACACCTGCTGCTCCGTCGTTTGGTCCAATTTGTCAGCGCCATCGTCACCTCCTCTGCTGTCCAACTCGCTGTCCTCTGTGCAGTCTGGGTGCCCAGAGAAGAGGAAACACAGACATTAAGATATGTTATATTCTAAGCTCTGTACATTGGAAATAAAATGCCCATCCCAAGCCGTATGACAATAACACAGTTTTCAACAGCTGGGATTGTAATTTACCCCCCCTGTGTAAATGTAATGATTATTTAAGTCCTCTTCTATTCCTCTAGGTTTGATAAAGTGAAATTTTAAAGTTTTGATGATAAAATACTTATTTACTTGTTTAAAAATCTTGTGTTAGTCTGACTAATACAGTTTATTTTATTTAAAGCAAATAAACCGATTAGAAAGAAGACTTGGGGAGGAGGGGGTAGGTCTTTTGTGTCATGAGTATGATAGACTGCAGAAATGATTATGTACCTGGGCAGTAAGGGGACAGCCTGATATCGGGCATCCTATGTATGAGGTGAGCACCATCATCCTGACGACAAAAACATTAAGAATGGAACATAAAAAAACAAAAGCAGCATTGATACACCATTAAACTTAATGACATTTTGTAATCGGCCCCACAGCTACAACTTATTGTTTACCTGATTGCTCTTGTTATGAATGGGCTCCATCCCATAAGAGAAGAAACCATCGGAAAACATCCCACTGAAAAACACCGGCATGGTAAATCGGAATGTAAAAAAAAAAAAAAAGAAAAGCACTGGTATGTAATGCAACGCTCCACTCACCACAGGCCGTGACAGGTGGACACAGCCGCCCAGGACTCTGGTAGGTCTCTTAACCTTCCCTGGTAGTAGCAGTGCTCCCCTCCCTGTGGCAACAACAAACCCCCGTTTCACTTAAAAGCCTCCTTCTGTCTTATTCCAGGCTTCTCAGGCATGCTTTCGTACTTCATTACATATTAGAAAAGCCAGAGGAAAGAGGGAAGACGCTTCGTATGCCACTCTCCCCTGGCTCTTTCCACTCTGCCATGGTTATGGCACAGATTGTGACCTACTTGTGTCCCATGCTCTACTCCGCTCTCCTGTGCCTTCCCCACAATAGGGATGGAGGTATGCTTGGCTGGAGGATCTCTTCAATAAATTATCATCCATGTTGGCAGCGCAGTTAGATTTAAGAACGGGATTTAAGAGCGGACACCTGCTTTACAAGGTTATGGTGGCGGAGAGAACCGCCAGGGGAGGCGGGAAACGCTGGTGCACCTGGATCAAACCCATCCCAGCGGGGTGGGGGGGGGGCTCAGCCTCACAAAAGCTCAAGTAAACAATGGCCCTGGATATGGGGGAGACAGAGATCCGTCTGGTGACATGATTGGCTGAGAGAGCAACACCTGCTGCGGGCAGCAGCAGCAGCTCCATCACGTGAGGCCTCCACCCAGCTGTGACACAATCTGCTCTGACCACAGGTCTGCACTCTCTGCCCTGCGAACAATCTCTCTCTCCCAGCGCTCTGCGTACAGGCCGACTGCCTATAAACACAAAAATGCCAAAGCTCTTGGTCTCGGTTTTGTGTTTAAACTGGCATTTTACTCCTTCCTTCCCTCCTCTGGCTTGTCCAACTCCCTTTGCTCTCCCTCTCCTCTCCTCCCTCCCTCTCGGTCTTCTATCATTCTCTCTTGGCTGCCAAGAACTTAATGATACTGCTGAGCTAACTGGTTGCTATGGAGACAAGCCCCTGATTGGTCAGGGGGACTGAGCGTTCGGAGCGGTTGTGGGTGGGGACATGTACTGCCGGTTGGGTGGGTGGGTGGGAGCTGGAGGGGCAGTGAGTGGCACATTTGTACAAAAAGAAGGAGAAAAAAAACATTAGCCATCCCTCTTGGCGTGTTGAATGCAGTCACCTTTTCTTTCAAAGGTACTGATGTGGATGTGTTACGTTAAAGGTTCTCGCTCAGTCCCCCTGCTCTGTTTGGGATTCTCTCGTGGGGCCTTTGGTTTAGCACCAGCTCTTTTAGTCCCATTCATCTGAATGGGGCCACAGCAGGTTGCCAGTTAAATCCTGGTGTATGCAGCCTGGTAAAAAACGCCATCTTTACAGCTACATAGCAACCTAGTTTTGACAGCACAGAGCACACGTTTCTTCTATAAATAGAAGAAACGGGAGGATGAGATCAAACAGTAAAAACTGTAAAATAAAAAAAGAACTGAAAAGCTAAAAAAAAAAAAAGATTCTCCCAGACAAACAAAACAGAGATCACTGTTAACAGCACCTGGCTTTCAACAGCTACAGAGCCATCACGCGTCGCTTTAGTAATTTCATCAAAAGCTAATTTTCATGTGCCGAAAGAGAAGTTCACAAACTAATATCATGTCAGCACATTTACCCACCCATCACAAAAATCTTACCAGAGACTGCAGGGGTCTGCCGTCCAGGTTAAAGTGCCGCTCCGTATAATCTGATGACAGTAAGTGGCTGCAGTGATGACAGAGATATGATCAAAATCTGTACCAGGAGCAGATTTCAGTTACACTCAATCTAATCTGGGATTTATTCCAAGAGGTTCTCCCCTTGAATGTATTCTAGGAAGAATTACAGACCTTATTAGCATGAGATATTATTAAAATGTGTGTCTGTGTCTATGAGAGTGCCACTGTGGTATTCCCCTTCTCGTCTTGTAGCATAATAGAGGTGCTAAGTGCATTAGCGTGAGAGCAGTGAAAATGCTAATGAGAACAGCTGCAGTGAATTAAGAGCACTTACTGATACAGGCATGAAAAAAAAAGAGATCTGATGATACTAACTGGTTTAGTTCCAGGTCTAGGATGAAGGTGTGTCCAAAGGCTTCCACTTGGAAAGAGCTCTGGGCCAGGTGGACAGGCTGGGGGAGAAAATAAATAACAGTCACACAGACAGATCTGACAGGTTCTGAATACAATGGGAAAGAAACAATTGTGGTTGAGTGTGTCACTCTGTTAAAACCACAGCGATTTTGAAACATTCATGAATAATTCAGCCGAATCAATACCCCTTTGAAAGTCTCTGAGCGGTTGTAATGTGATGATTGATAAAGCCCTCATTGATCAACATGAGCTGCCGGGATACATGCAGCCAGGACTTCACATGAGCTCCGGCGGTTTGAGGTCTGTGATGGTGATGGATAAGGAGAAGGAAGACAAAACCTGACTGGGATCCTCCCTGTTCAGCCATGCTGAATGTGAGCGAGGAGAGACGGAGAGAAATTTACTGCAGACTAAAGCATGTGTGTCTTCTGAGGCCCTGACCGTGCCAGCGTGGCTTTGATCGTCAGTCTGGAGGAACCAGGCCACAGTGAATCACCGGGCTTTTACAATAAAATGCATCCAGAAAGGATTCTCTCCTGCGAGTACAGACAACAGATTTCTTACTACTGTGTTGGACAGGCCGAAATGTTCTAGGAGCTTTATTATTGCCACCATACAGAAGCATTTCTCCTGTTGAATTTGTGAAAGTTCTGAAGCTAGCTTTGTCTACTCTATTCATACTCTTTATACTTTATCATTTATATTTATACTCTTTCTGTAAAAATGTGAGCAGATGTGGCAGAGCTGGATTCGCCTCATATAATAAAAGGTTTCAGTAAAGGATTGCGTTTGCTTGCTTTGAGATCTTCCAAAAGTCTTATCTCTCTTTGCCCTTAAACTTTTTAATGTGCTTTCAATGCTTCATCCATTCCTCTATATTTTACTTACGTCCCCATGAGGACAGTTTACAAAGTTATTCTCAAATCTTTTCTTTGTAAGTGACATCATAAAACTTTTTTTTTTTTTAAGTATTCTTGGTTTGGCTCATTTCGTTGTTCAGTTAAGAGAAATGCACTGCTGTTGACCAATAAGCAGATTTGTTTGATTATTAGGAATATCAGACACGTCTAAAATAATACAACTGAAAATTGTTCAGGAGGAAAGTGCCTTTTATGCTGGATTCCTTTATGTATTTGCAGATAAAACTGAACGCATTCCTGAAACAACATGATGTTAACGTCTTGGATGACAGAGGAAATAACAAACAAGTTTCTTCATGTCTTGCTTGCGAATATCTCAGTTCATAGAAAAGTTGACAGGAAGCCCAACTATTCTCATGGGAAACAGCCTATTTTTCAGTGTTGAATTTCAGAAACTGCACATTGTGCCAAGATGTTGAATAAATGCAAAAGTGCTCACTTTTGGATTTAGGCTAACAAGCTATTAGAATGATGTTCTAATTGATATGACATCTTAGTTGTGTTTGGCCAAGTTTTGGTTTAGAAGTGATGGGAGGGCTGCTTCATTTACTGTGTACAAGCAAAGTGCATCAATGGTTTTAATGATATCCTTCACAAGCGGATATCAGGAAATCCAGATCTTTAGGTTTTGAGTACATGGGATCCTGGCATAGATTCTTCAAGTCAAGTGGAGGGATGGCACACAATCGTTCTCTTCATTATTCCCTCCTTCTCTCACCGTGGTGGGAGTGTAGGTTAAAACATGTGATAATTGCTGTTTGTTATATGATAGCGTAGCCAAAAAATGACCCCCTGAAAGCAGAACGAGCTAATTGGGCTCCTCTCTTTTGATGTTACAGTGCAAAATGATCTGCACATCACACGAGGAGGATCATGTGATAATTGTAGCTTTTCTGGGATGCTGAAAATCCTTCAGCCAAATGTTGCTTCATCTATTTCCAACACACCATGATGTGACATTAAACAAGAAACAAGTTCAGTCGATCAACCCTGCTGCTGCTAAATTTATCTGGCCCCTCATTTCAGGCCTCCAGAAAAAAATCAAAGCACAGCACATCTTGTAGTGAGGCTACTGAAGCGGACTTGATTAAGAAGGCAGCATCCCAACAGATAGCTTCTGTACTGTATGTACTTTACTGTAACAAATTCTCTGTTTTTTCATTGATTCTGAAAACATAAACATTCATTGTCTTCTAAAAACATAATTTATCCGAACATTAGACTGCTGTTCCTCGCGTGGGTCTTCTCCATACTAACAGTTATGTGATCTAGATTAGGAAGGAGCAGGGAGGATGAGAGATGGCTGTGGGGAAAAGACGGCATGGATAGTGCTTTGGTCTCTCAGACCATGCAGCGCTTCTCACACAGGCCTTCTGCATATTTAATAGGACGTACTTAAACACAGCCCTGAATAATGAAGAGGTTTGGAGCTCTGCACAGTAACTGGATGATTGGACACTGTGCCTGAATATCACAGGATGGGTCGTGACCATTTAAACAGCTCGTCGTTCCATTTACATACAGAGCATGCCCTTTTTATAAAGCTCTTTAGGCCAGAAAAAAAACATTAAATAACTATTTGTCTTAGTAATCTTGGGGCTGATCCTATTCTTTACTCTGGATAATCAAAGGGATTTTAGTGACTAACTGGGTCAAAATCATGCGGAGTGAAGGCTGCTGTACGGCACCACCCTCATTCCAGAGGCAGAGCAGAGCAGTTTATGCAGACAGCAGGGGAAAAAATGGGGTTCCCATCAACCGAATAACAAGTTTGACTTGATGCTGCCCTTTCAGAGTTGAAAGATTACAGAAGTCGCAGCAGAAGACTCCAAACTGCACAAATACTGAATTGCATCTCACATGTCTTTTTCTTTTTTTCACCCGCAGACCAAAGACGTGTATTTTTGGTTAAGTGATGACTCCAAATTGGCTGTATGAGTGCTAGTGTGCATGGTTGTCTGTCTCGGTCATCTCTGTGTATCTCTTTGCTGGACTGGTCACCTGTCCACGGTGTACCACGCCTCTTGTCCTATGACGGCTGGAAGAAGCTCCAGGGTTTGTTCTTTTTTTACATTAGATATGTTCAACCTGAATTAAGTCAGCCAATGACTAATTAAACAGGAATACTTCTTTCATATTCCATCTAGGGCATTTTCTTTCTAATGAGATCTAGTTCTCCTTTTTGGGGGGGAACTCCTAGTTAGGTATATTTGGGTGTCCCTGCTGGACAAATTAAAACCTGCTGGGCTCAGCATTACGGGGTGAAGAAGCGTGAAAACAAACAGAAGTGAATATGTGGGTGGGCGGAGGGGAGCTCGTCCCGAGTTACACCTTACCAAGCTGTTCCCACTACTGTTCTTCACCCTGGTGTCTAAGTAGTCGTGAGCCATCTCCTCCTCCGACTTGATCTGCTGCACCAGCCGTTTTGGATAAATGACCTCCGTGTCTCCACTGTCCAGCTGACCTGGTGGGGCAAACCAGTCCCACATGCTGCCATCCTTCTCTGGACTCTCGTCCACACCTGCATGCAGCAGGAGAAAAACGCTCAGCCTGCAGACTCTTAGGTGTACAACGGCTTGGCTACTGTTGGAAAGGAATTGTAAGCCTACAAAGGACCTTGTTAATTCAGTGACATACGTAAATCCTAAAAGAAAACGTGGAGGCTAATTTAGTGACCCGATTTACTATCTACTTAGTTATGTTTATTCAGCTTCTCAAAAAATAAATAGAATTAGTGTGTGCTGATGAAATCATTTAAGCCATGTCTTTAACCCCCAGTGTCTTATAACACCCATGAGGGTACATATAGTGCCTGTAAATCATTTAAAACCAAAGTGCTCATGTGTGAGGGTGCAAATCTTTTTTCCTGGTGATTGACAATGGTAGTGGTTTTAAATGTCTGCTGGATAGAACCCCCTCTGGGAAATGGGTATGTCTGCTTGAGTAAGTAATAAATCTGCTGTGGAAATGTGTTGATGCAGCAAGTCTGCCAGTGGGCTGGTTGGCACCGAGATCCAGAACAATAAAATCACAGCCCACACTGGGGTTAGAAAAGTGCTGCTCGAAGGAAAAAAATGTGGATGCACAGAAAACGAAAAGGGTGATTCCCCCCCTCGATCCAACCCCCTCTCTCTCGCTTACCTGAGACTGCAAGCCTCTCGCCCACTGCAGCAAAGACCATGAAGCACCACACCGACAGCATGATCTTCACATATTCCCCCGGATTACAGCATCGAGAGCCGCAAAATGCCAAGAACCCGGTAGGTGGAGAGGAGGGAAACGACCAAGAAACGCACAGCAGAGACGATGGCGATGATCCAAAGTTAATCTGCTACACATCTGATGATGCGCGTCCTCTCATCTCTCCCCCTCTCTACCTCTCGCCCTCTCAGCTCCGGCCAACACAGCTACGGAGAATTTGGAATTGCATATCAGAGTGATGAAAAACGAATCGATCCAGGTGTAGAGAGGGGATCGGTGATGGAAACACTGTGGAACGGCAGAGCGCGCATAACGGACGCGCTGCTCCGCGAGGCGGCGCGGGTGGCGTAGTACGGCCGTGTGGATGTGTGTGTACGTGTGTGGCAGCCTGCATATATACGCGAAATCTGCGGTATGCGGAAACCAAGGGATGGGAAAGCGAAGGGGAAATGCGTTTGGTCTGCGGCGGGGGAAGACACGTGGGGCGGTGGTACCCTCCCTCATCCTGGGCTGCCTCCTCCTCCCGTTGCCATGCAGAGGATGCGACAGCCCGGCGGCTTGAATGGACGCCTGTGAGGCTGTGAATGGTCCGTAACTGGGAGCACTGAAACCCCACACCTGCCTCTTCCTCTGTAGTGGGAAGTGTGTGTGGAGGAAGGTGTGTCCTGATTTAAAAGACAGCAGGTGTCTCACCTTATGTTCCAAGTTTTTTTCCCCCCCTCCAAATCCTGATGGGGAAGTATCTGATTAATTCATCAGCAGAATGACTAATAAAGTTGTTCCTCAGTTGCCTTAATGGAAATAACACCATGGCATATTACGTAAACATGTGGTTGCACTTCATTGCAATGAAAACGCTTCTGATTAGGCATCTGTTAACATCATTTCAGGGATGTTACTAATTGGTAAAACACTTCAACATATGAGCACATTAGGCCACATGAAGTTTCTTGTCATTGAGAACTATAAATATAACCATAGACACTGAAGCTGGAGACCCGCGGAGCTCCGTGTGTAGCCGTCTCAACCCTCTAACCTGCAGGGATTAACCTCATTGATGGAGTGAGGTCTTCCAGGAACCATCTTGTGACACATCCCACTAATGGAAGCATATTGTGCACTAACAGCCCCCAATGAATATTTCATTTACCCCCTTTTGAGTCCAACGGAGAAGAGCTGGAGGACTGGGCAACAGCGGGAACATGGCATCAGTGGAGTGTTGTGCTTCCTGTGCCCTTGATCCGATAAAGAGAAAGGCTCCTGAAAACATTTCAGTTCACAGACACAAGTCACTTTAGTGCTTCTGCTGACCTGAACTCACATATAATTGACATCTCCAGTGTATTTTTCAACGCTATGACTACTGATCCCACAGTGCTGATGGAGATAATTATGTATTAATTGGCATAGCTGAGTTATAAAAAAAATGGCAGAGAGCTGTATGACCACTCCGGACTGCAGAGAGATTCTCAGACATCAGCTTCAAAACAGAGCAAACAAAAAGTTGGGAAACCCCAAATGGCCATTCAGACATGCAGCTTTCACTCTGTGAAACACTCTTAGATCATTTGTGAATGACATAGCTCAACATCTAATAAGAATGATCAAACCGTCTGTACATACCAAAAAGGAGCTCAGAAAAAACGCATATTAGTGGGGAAGACATGCAAAAGTTCAAATGAGCGTCTTAGATTTTAGGGCATTAAAATGAGACGAGTATCCGCTGTGGAAATCTGTAACATTTAAACTATTCTCACTCAGTGCGTCCGCAAATGCAAGATAAAAGTCAGTCTGAAAGAGTCTCCTGCCAGAATTAATTAACGTCGGACAGATGTGGGTGTGGTGTGAAAAAAATTAGATGAATCACAGATATACTGTCACACTGGACAAAGAATGGAATAACATTGCACTTACAACCAACTCAATTCAAATGTCGGCGTCTGTGATAGTTCAGGGGAGCATTAGAGCACCTGTCATTGGAAACACGCACGTTTGCGAGCGCGCACGTGATGTACATGATATGCTGTTCTGTGGCCACATCCAGATGACACCTATTTTAAGGAAGATTCTGTTTTGTATATACTACCTGGATTTGTCAAAGTAAAGAAAGAGTAACAATATGTAACAAAATCTATATAAAAGGATTATAAGCAACTGTTGACTGCACAAATTTTCATACGAGTTAATGGTCTGATTAATAGTGGCTTAACTTAAGACACTATGGATACAAAACTTCCTCAGAAGGGCTGATGGAATAAAAAAAAGCCACAAACTATTTATAAAGGCGTTGCTTGCATAAAAAGTAAAAAGGGTAGGCTACATTAAGAATGGACACATGTGAACAGAGTAACAGAGACACACCACCCTCTGCTGTGCACATAACTGTAACACAAGCTGTCTTTTTGTGTTCTCATTTCCAACCAAACCATTCGGAATGGGAAGAAACCTCTAGCTGTACTCACGTATGGAAATGCTGTTCCCCTTAAATCTTTAGTTAACTTTTGCCGTTTTATGGCAGAATACGAAATTGTATCTCCTCTGTGCGTAAACCAGATGTTGATTCCTGTGTGTTTGCAGGGCGCATGTTAAACTGAGAGGCAGCAGGTGCCTGCTGGCTGCTCCCGGTCCCTCGTTTGTTTTCGAGCAGCTGGGCCCAACGACGCAATTAGGTTAATTAGTGTCAGCTTTCCGTTTTGGAGAAGCCGAAGTCTGAGTCACCGCCTGGTGACCCGACGATGCCAATTAGAGTTGATTACTTCCGAGAGGTTATAAGACAGGCCGACAAAGGCGGCAGCCCTCCAACGCGATAACTTAGTTAGAGGAGACTGATCACAGAGGAATATGAACGGGCTTCTTTCTGCGCAACCCGTCGGTGGGAAGCTCAAGAAAGAGCTCGCCTGCACCTACGCTGGATGCGCAGCGGTTTTCTCCAGAGACTGGAAGCTGAAAGAGCACGAGACTGTGCACAGCGGAGCGGTGAGGTCTCGCTGAAATGTTTCCAATCATTTACACGAAGTGCTCTTCTGGAAAAACATCCGAATGTCCGCAGAGACCGTGTCGGTGCGCAGTTGCTGGCTGTGAGCGGCGTTTCAAAAGGAGGTCCCACCTGAACCGCCACATGCTGGGCCACAGAGGGGTGAAGGCTTACCCGTAAGTTACAGGGTGTGTGTTTTAATCTAATCTACCACCCAGCAGTCCTGTAACCACTCCCGGTACGTGTAGGTGCAAGTTTGCGGGCTGCACGAAGGCGTTCTTCAACGCGGGCAACTTGAAGAGGCACGTGCGTTACGCACACGGGGACAAAAGCCGCTATTTCAAGGTTTGTAATGCGCGAACGTCTCCACTAGATGTCGACCGAAAAGCACGTTTAAAATGCCTGAATCCAGATTTCCAACTTTGTTGCAATAACATATTGGATGTTTGTTCATAGTGTAACCAGCCAAAGTGCAACTTGAGCTTCAAAAAGCGCAGAATGTTTAAGCTGCACCTACAGGAGCATAATGTGCCAACCAAGTTCAAGTATGTTCATTTTTACAACCCTTTGGGTTTTTTGATTATTAATAAATTGCTATTATGTACGTAACTCTAAGCCACGCTACATTTGAAATGCCTATAGACAATTAACAGTCGCCTCAGTAGCTGTAGTCATCATTTTCTGTCCCTGGTTGGTTGCCTAGATGTTCTAAGGATGGATGTGCAGCTGCATTTGACTCCCACATTGCCCGCAAGGCTCATGAGAAGAAGCATGCCGGTTAGTCTATTTCCGTGTGACTTGTGGGGCTTTCTTGTTTAATGTATTCATTTAAAGACATGACGCATCTTTTCTGAACAAATGGCAAGAAATCCCATGGAAAGCCTCAGATGAACTCCACAACTATATCTCCCTGTCTACAGGTTACCACTGCCCTCATGACAACTGCCAGGTGTTTGAGCACACGTGGGGGAAACTTCAGAAACACATGGTCAAACACCCAGGTGCATAATTTCTGGTCATTCCAAACACTGATAATCCTTTTATTTCCACTACAATGTGAAGGGAATACTACACAAACTGTCCTATATTTAGCTTATCATTGCCACCATGATTAATGCATTAAGTAACTTTGGTGCTATAAGTTGAGTTTTTTTTTTTTTTTTTGTACAAATGTTTTTTTCCATTTTATATTTTGGTATTGGATCTTTGTGTTCTTTGTGTTCCAGCCACATTCACATGCAGTGTGTGTAAAAAGGTATTTAAAAAGGAAGGTACACTGCGAAGGCACAAACGGCTCCACGCTTCCCACAAACCGGTGCTGGTGTGTCCCAGAGACGACTGCCAGGCCTACTTCTCCACAACCTTTAACTTGCAGCACCACATTCGCAAGGTGCACCTTGACCTCCTCAAATTCAAATGCTCCTTTCCCGACTGTCCTCGCATGTTCGCAATGCGGGTGGGTATACAGCAAATATCCAAATCCACCATTAAAAAAAAAAGATAAACGTCTTTTTTACTGTTAAATGTTTTGATCCTACAGGAAAGCATGATGCGACACCTGCTTCGTCATGACCCAGGTGCCACCACTTTGAAGGCATGTTCTGTCCGCACGCCCTAAACTGCTTCTTTGTAATTAAACCTTCTGGAAGCAAACTCTCCCAGCTTCTGCTCAAGTGATGGACACGCAGTAGTTTAATCTCAAAACTGTTTTTAATCCATCAGAAACGTACACGGGCCAAGAAATCCTGGCAGAAGCGCCTGAATGGGCACCATCTGCCTCTGGTGGAGGAGGACCTGCGCCGCCTCTTCGCGCTGCGCATGCGCATCTCCAGACGGGCCAAAGTGGAGGCCAACCTGTCGGGCCTCTTTAACGAACGCAAGATCCCACACTACGTGGATCCGGAAGTTAACCTGCGTAACTTGTTCGGGATCAAAAAGCCTCGTCCTGTGGAGCAGCCCGAGGTTGCACCTGTGAAAGGTTAAGAGAATTTGCAGATGGCAAATTTTTTTTTTCATTAAGAAATAAGGGTCTATTAAGTTTTGAATGTAGATGATACATTAATATTGAACTTACTTTGAGTATGACTTGACACATTTGTCAAACATTTGTATTTGTTTTTATTTCTCGAAGAAATTTTTTTCTTTCCGATTGCCGACCCAATAAAACTTGGTTAAAGTGACAATTATTTTTGCAGATGGTTTGTGTTCTGCTGGAAGTCTGCTGCTTGGTAGCAGCTGATTCAGTTTCTCATTTAATTGCAACTGAAAGTTGGTCTTATTGTTGGCCCCTCTAACAGCTGCCCTCCTCCTGCATACATCTTTTGACTGCTTTGGCTGCACATATTGGCTGACATTTGCTGAGCATGTTGGAACTCATTAGATATGAACAAAGAGCTACACATGAGTAAGAACTGAATCAGTATGCTGCTTTGTAGGCGGCTGAGACTTTGTCTTCAAAGTGTCAGATGTGGAGAAAGGAGAGAGCTGCAGTTTAAACTGCATTTGAAATATTTAGTGAGGGTGGGACTTTTCCACTTGTCTGAAACTGAGGTTTATACACAACTCCAAAGCTGCCAGTCATATTTCCAGAGCTGATTTCACAATTGGCTTCAGTCTTGGGTCACAGCTTAATGTTTTGAGTTGGAGTGTTTAGTATTGGAGTCACTTGGCAGTTTCAGCACATGGTATTGCATTCAGAAGCCATTTTTTTCCTCTTTGGAAGAGGGCCTTCCTCTATATATGCTAATGAAAATAAATGTTAAATTGCTTATCCATGTCTTAGGTGATGCCATCTAATTTAGACGACTTGTAAATTTATTCTGCAGCTGGAACTTTGACTGCATTAAAAATGGGCTTAGAACAATATAATGGAAACAATCTGAAAATGACTTGCATGGTTCCTATTCTTTAAATACTTGAGCTGTTTGGGGGGTTTGACTGTTTCACACCCTGTAACTGCCCATAAGTAAAATTGTTGAAAGTGTCCTGGCATCTTTGCTCTTCTTCAGGTCTTTCTCTCTACTTTGGCCACTCAGGCTGACTCTCTGCCATACACTGACCTATGAGCAGAGGAAAGCTTGTTTACAAGATGCATGTCTCCTCTCCTTGCAAAATGTGTGTTGTCCAGAATCACCAGGTAGGAGTTTGGAAGGGTGGACTTGTTTTGTATAGAATTGATTTATTATTGTATAGTCTGTTTTAATTGTTTTAAGGCATCCAGTTTGTAGGTATATGAAATATTGAAATGTAAATTGCTTACCAGTGGTGCCATGTGAGCAAAGTGGATTGTTTTCAGTGAAAGTGGACTGAAACCAGCAACACTATAAATCTCTCACGTTTGACTACACCGACGTCACCACTGTCTGGAAAGGCCACGCCAATTATCCTCAGAGAGAGCATGACCTTTGGCGTAATTTGTTGAGCTGTATTTTTGCAACTCGTACTTCACAAAGCAAAAGTCCAAACTTTGAACAAAAGGAAGCTTTGGGCCGTGGACTGCCTCTTGATAGCTGAACTCTAAACTGTATATCAGCCTTCTGTTCATCGAGCAATGCAAGTTAAATGATGCTTAAAGGTAAATAAAGATATATAATGATTTGATGTCTGTCTCCTGCTTGATTTCCGTTTTGATTCAGTCTGAAATCGCAAGTAAAATTTGCATAAATAACTCCAGTGCAGGTTAACTGCTTGGTGGGGTAAATTTCTCACAGCACTCTATTCTCACTTATGGGCAAAAACGCATCAATAAAAGCACTGAATCACCTCCATCCCACTGTGAGGAACACTTGCACTGATGACGACACCTTGTCGATGAAATGGCCCTGACCTTCAGTAGTTGCAATTGACCAAATGATTTTAGAGGCATCAGGATGACGCACGGAACGTCTCAAATAACTATTTCTGTTTTTTACTCAAATTGTAACACAAGTGCTCAATCTCTGTAATTCAAGAGTTTAGTCCCATAATGTTTTGACTGTTCTGAGAAACCTCATTCGTTCCCATCAGGCTTTTGTGAAAAGGGACAAAATAACTTTTCATCCTTCAGAGCAACACATTAAAGCAGTGGTTAAATCCTCTCAGCTTAAACCATCAATTCAACACACAAATAAAACTTTAATGCTGTATGAGATAGTGAAAAATAGATTGATTTGTAAATCTCAGAAGATCTTATTCATCAGAACCTAAAACATAAAAAGCTGACAGATATTTTTCTATTTCATAGTTGCAACTTGTCCAAAATATTGTATCCCATATTTCTGACTGTTAATGAGGTGGTTTAAAGCACTTTTTCCTTCAGTTTTTCTATTTGAGAGTAGTAACCCACATTTCCCAGTCTCATTCACAGAATATCCACAAGGAAGAACAAAAAAAAGCTCTCATGGAGAGGAAAACGAAACAAGGCGATAAATCAAAGTAGGCTAACAGTACAGTCGTCATGCCCTGATTTAGCTTGCGTCCTCAAGAATAGATGACCCAAAATCATTTCTCCCCTCCCTTTTCTCCTTTTTCCCATGGCCCTGTTTGAAGCTTTTCATAGAAGCAGCAAAACTGTCCATGCCTGTCAACCGGACAGGAGTCACAAACCCAGCAGTCAGAGGCTGACTATAAGTTTGAACAGTTACCAAGACCGAGTGAAAACTCTCCATTAAAACTTTGCTTGTTGCTTATTTTGGATTTTTGAACCTTTGAAACTTTCTTTCCCAGTTGCCTGTCTTTGCTCATTATATTTGTCACAGATCTGCTGCAGGTATCAGAGAAAGATATTTTTCAGACTTGACTTTGACGTGGTTATTATCTTCTCTGGGTCCTGCCAAGAAAACTGACACAGCAAATGAATGACGGGGGTTCACTCAGCCAAACTTAGAAAGCAACTTTGCCCCTGAGACTGTCCATAAAAGACGTAGAAGGTATGTATCTAGGGAAAAACAGACTTTTCAGCTCATGCCTCACGGGGACAAAATTATGCCTTTTTAAAGGGGTGTTATGAAACATTTTTCCTTGAAAGAACAATCACACAAGCAGTGAATAAAACCAGCCGATTTACCTTGCTCTGCTATGATGCACTTGAGTTTTGCGGGTTAGCTTTGTTTGTGACATTGACACTTTGCTTGTTTCTGGTTATGTGACAAGGTTGGACATTTTTAGAGTCAGGTAACAGATGGCGTTCGGCACAAAAGCTAAACGGAAGGTTTCATAAATCAATGACATTGTTCTCGCATGCTAAACCAAAGTGGTGTCTCTGTGTCCCCGTCAGATGCCCTTCACATAGGTCCACGTGGAGTATACAAACCGGGGAATATATCACACACCTGATTACTGCTGAACCATTTTCTCTTTAAAAGGTTCTAGATAAAAGGAAAATTACAGCTCATACTCGACACAAAGCCTGGTAGATCACTCTCACCAGCAGCTAAATAGCCTCTCAGTGGCTTTTAAAAAAGACCGAGTGGTTTTTTTCAGCCAGGGCCAAAAGTCTGCCTGAATAAATGTCCCCTCAATTAATGTTATTCTTATAGATTATAAACTGATTCATTTCAGTGATTAGATTCCAACGTTTAATCTCCAAAGCTTTTCTGATGCACAAATGAAACACCTGTGGTCCGGTTTTATTTAAACAGTGAAATAAATCAATACAAGGCTGCCAAGAGACCGGCTTGACCTTAAACTTTCTACGATTAAGCTCCAACCTTCCCCTCAGTCCTCCTCAGTTATCTCTGGACATACCTGAAATTCTGGAATGCTTCAATCTTAGTTTAATTAGATTTTTCATCCACTTTTAATATCCAACAAACGCAAACACGTCCGGTTCAGAGGATAGGAGCTTGTGTTGTATCATACATGGAGGAGGGGGAAAAAAATGCCCATAAATATGTCTGGTTCGGAAATAGGATTTCCATGCTGGAGGTCTCCGTTTCTAGGAAACTGGATGAGACACGGCGGTACTGAAAGTCATCCCAAAAAAGCGGAGACTGATCGTGTTTGTTCTGAGACTCTGATGTTGTGTTTGGGAGCGTTTTTCTCAATTGGACCACTGCATAATTGGCTTTTTAGTCCTGCCCTTCGAGGTCAGCTGGCATGACACGGCACATTTCGCGTTTCCTCTCGTGTTGAGGAAAAGGCCTTTTAGCCACTCGCTGTTTATCATCTCCTCTCCAACATTAAATCCCGTCATTTTTATACATCAAAGCCCAGCTTCTCCCATCCAACATGCTCCGCTTTGGGATGATCCCAGTGGAATATTTACCTGCAAACGTTCCACTGCGTGTTTTGTTTGTGTCTGTTATTTTTAGTCCTCGTTGTTTCACTCGCCGTCCTCGTGACAGATATTGCGGCGAGCAAGAAATTATTTATAGGCCACAACAAGACGAGCCTGTTAACAAATGTTTGCGTCTTAGTGCCGAATGGCGTGCTGCTGCTTCTCTCTTCCCCTCTGACAAAAAAATCTGTGAAGCGAGTATCACAAAATGACATGCTGACATGAGTTGTCTCTGCAGAGTATCAAAGGCGATGATCCGATTAGCTGGGATTTACTCAGCCAATGATCTGCCATGCCTTAGATGAGAGCTGATTACCAGAGACGCAAATTTAGGTTTGATTACACTTCCTTTTTGTGGACGTGCGCATCACATCCCGTGATGTCCTCATTTCCTCACAGTCACCGTGTTTGCAGCTTCATCAATCAAAACCTGGCCGTCACTAAGTCAAACCTGGTCGTTAAAAGGGCTGCAAGATATCAAATTAGGTAATGTGACGGTTACTGTGTCAGATGACGGAGGCACCAGCTACTGTTAATGATTTATTCATTCATTCTCGCTGCTAGATAGTGAGAATCTGATTTAATTGCCACTGACGTGTGACAGAACTCCTCTGGTTTTATTCACTTCAGTTTGTGTGTCTGCGTTGGAGGCACAGAGAGAGTTTCTGATTGATTTTAACCTGCTGTTTAATCACTGTAAAGAAAAATGCCCCTATAACAACGGGGGGGCCAGGTTTCAATTAACAACCAAGAAATTCTGAATGATTAGTTTTCATGAACTCAGTGGTGCCAGAGAAAGAAAAGGTCACATGAACCGGCAGTCGGACTGAAAGCTGTTTTATATGCAGTTTGCAGCTTTATTGATTTCTTTGTGGTGGAAAGTACAACTCTGCCAAAACACATGAAATGGAAGTAAAATACAAGTCTGGAGCTGATGGCATTTAGGATGCTCAAACAGGAATATCATGCAGAAAATTGTGTTATCTTTAAAAATCTGATTTGTGTTCTCAGAGATGCAGCACGGCATTTTCAAACTGTGAAATTTGCCATCCTTTTATATTCAGTGTCATGAGACAAATATCACACAGACTGAAGAGCAAAGAGACGATTGTCATTGCAAAGAGCAGCTAACCAGGACTTGTCCAGTCGAATTCAAAAGCTCTTGGTTGTTTGTCTCTGCGCGGCCCTGTGCTGGACTGGTGACCTGTCCAGGGTGTGTCCCGCCTCTCACCCTGTGAAAGCTGGGATAGGCTCCTTTTCTCACAGAGCCAACAGCACTGGGGTATCAAGCTTTCTCCAGCCGATAAATTGACCCACCGCTCTTGAACGTATGCTGGGATCTGTGCGACAAACCCTGTTCCCTGTTTGTTTGATGGCACTCACTTCAAACCATCTATCCAATGCTGGATGATGCCTTTTATTTAAAAAAACCTCTTCACAGCTCTTCAGTTTGATCAGTGTTTGAAGCCATCTACATGACCTCCCCTGCGTTTGTCTGAATAAACAATCTTCTTTTTAAATGGCCTTCCTTTCAGAGCCGACACTTGAAGCGATACGCAGCACTCCAGGCCGCAGTTCATCCAGATAGACGTTGTGCCTTTTCCTTTATAGCGATGCCTGTAGAACCTGCAGTAAAGGAAGCAGGATGAAGCTCTTCAGATATCTTTTGCACT